GTTACGATCATGGAAGCCCTGACACACGCGTCCCTAAGGGCTGGACACGTTGTCATTCACAGACTCTAGAGCAACCATTGACAGTCTACAGCATACCATGCCCCAAGACAACATCTACCTTCTGACATCTGTACTAGCCATATCCCAAAGAATACACGGTCACGGTAGAAGAATGATCATAAACTGGGTCCCAAGCCATATTGGCATTCATGGGAATGAGCTTGCTGACAGACTAGCCGAAAAGGGCAAGGGTATGCCCCCATTCCTCCATGATCGTTAAACCAAGCCGAAGGAGACTAAGCCAAAGTACCAAAGCTACAGATGACTCGATCATCTCCATGTCATACACAAGTGGGAAGCCACTTGTGAGGGTGCGAATCTTCTGTCCCCAAGACCAAGGAGCGAGTTATTTGTCGCTATAAACAGCTGACCGGTGATCCCCAGGGGAGCGTCGCGGCGCCCGCGAGCGGGACAGTCTGCTTTTGGTGACTACTTGAGGCGGTCTGCTTAATCAGTCTCTAAGACAACCAGTGATAGAGAACCATTAAAACCAACTACCATGTACATAGAGTTAGATAATTAATCGTATAATAAGTATGTGTGTTTCCTACTCCTTATACACTTTAGGAACTTCCATACACTGAACCGGTTACACACACAGGGTACATACGGTGGCAATAATCAAGGAATTAACAGAACACACTACACGCCTACTTTTAAGGGGGCATTTCATCACTTACAAACTTAGAACGCTACTCTTAAGAGACTGAAAGACAGAGAAAGGGAAATATGAATTTTAATAACATATAAAGAGCATGTATAATCATTTCCTATGAACAGAACCGGATAAACTGAACTATGGGAGTTCATATAAATTCACTTTGAAATTCTTAACCCATTTAATAGTGCCATTACCGAGAGGTAAGAGAATTAAGGAAATAACCAGGGCCATATAGGGATATGCTGCTGACAGCGCCGTGATGGTATGTTGTAACAAATCACTTTGAATACATGCGAAAGTGTGCGCCCTAAGCAACAGGTGTGTAATGTGTGAGTGTACAGTGAAGGGAACCGCCTGTTTTTTTCGATTTTTCGATTTTTCTTGTCGATTTTGATGAAACTCACACCCTTTTATTTAGGCCCCTTCCCATTGCCTGTGGTTGATTTTTTTTCGAAATCGGCTGAACAGTTTTTGAATTATAAAAAAACCATAAATGCGAAAGTTGCCATGTTGAAAATGCAGCACTTGGGTAAAAGGATTCCGACTTCAGAAACGATAAGACATTCAATTTTACTTTATTTTGTATTTATTATTACTATTATTATTTATTTATTTATTATTATTTTTTTTTTGTTAGAACTATTCAATATCTACAATTTGATCACTGTGGATTTTTCGATTTCGACCAAATTTTAGGGGACTTCACGAAAATTAAAAACAGGAAAAAGTTTCTTACATTTCTCACAAGAAGCATAGGCAAAAAATGCAAAATCCACAATGATTAAGTTGTAGATATTTTATTTTTCTACAGAATGAGCCATAATATGTTAATTTTGGACATATGTTGTGCAAATCCTTATGGCAGCCTGTAATTCATCTATTATTCAGCTACAAACTGATCCATAATACGTTAAAATCGGACTAAAATACGTATGCTATGCATAAAAATGTGAAGGACCTAATAAGAACGATTTTTTTTCCATTCCATTATTTATACATTTTACATGCCAAATCATGTAGGAAATACTTGTATTTGATATAATTATCTATTATTTACCTATTGTTGTTGCTCTAATGGGGTTTTACAACGTACAATATTGGTTGAAAAAATAACGATTCTCCAACCAGACGCGGACCATACACTCCTTTTCTCAGCGCAGCCGGGCGCGTCTCTTCACATCTGCGGAATATTGGTGTTTAACTCTACGGGGTCACGTGGCCAATTTTCGCACTCAGACCCCGTGGAAAGACGAAAAAACAATTACATGGCGATATAAAAGTATGTATATAAGGTATACAAGCACATAGAGGTAATTTTCGTGTACCCCATGACCTTTTGTTTATTTATATTGTTACTTCCGTTTGTTTCTTTGATTGTTGATTATTTGTTTGTTGATTGTTTGTTTGTTGTATTTTTGTTTATTTGTTTGTGTTTTCTGATATTTTATAAAGTTATGAACACATTTTAATGAGATTTTATCCAAAGGTATGTTTTAGCCTAATTTAAACGCTTAGGGTGCGTGCACAGAGAAAGCAGGTTTGCCCGCGCCGGCTACCAGCGCCGACCCGCGCTAAGAATTCAACCATATAAACAAGTGTAAGCGTGCACAGAGGAAGCAGGTTCGAGCGTGTCGACGCCGGCAGCCCGCTTCAACCCGCTTTTCTGTTTGCTCGGATCATTCTTGCCTGCTCAACCCGCGCGGGTTGAAGTTACTGAATGGAGAGCAGGAAGGATTTTGAACCCCTGATAGCCAAAGATTATGAGAGATGGCCAATGTAGAACAAATGGAAGAAGCACCCCACCCCACAGGAATGGAGCGGATAAGCTGTGAGCTGAAATTAGAAAATTTCTGGAATGAAACAAAGCATTCACGAAAGTAATTTCATAAACATAATAGGTTCTATTATGTCCTTCAAGTGGCTGTCACACTACACTGAGTCGGAACTGGTTACCCGCGTCCTCTGTGAACACCTTATCGCGCTGGTTTCCGGCGCCGACCCGCGCTGGAAACCAGCGCGCCGGTAGCCTGCTTTCTCTGTGCACGCACCCTTATTACACTTTGGTGATGATGCGGACCATGGTATGGATCCAGGATTTTTTTTCTAACTCGAAAAGTTATGAACAGATTTTAATTCTTTACCTGAGGTTTCTCTTAGCCTAATTGATATTCCATAATTTTTTGTAGTGATCCGGATCATTTGGCAATCCTACTATTAGAAATAATTCCATTTTCAATCGAATCACTTAATTCAGAAATTCATTCGTTAATGTAATAACACCAGCATCGATTTTTTTTTTTTTTGGGGGGGGAGGTTTGCATTATCGAAATGTTTTGATCATAGATCAAACTAACTGTGTTTTTTTGGACGCTTGCCAGATTTTTAAATTTATTCCGAAAAGATGAAGGTTGGTCTCATCTTATGTGAACTTTAATAAGCTTTCTGAAAATAAACTTATTTTTTAATCATCTCTAATCATTGCGTAACAATTGACGATTTTCTAAGGTAACGTGAAAAAAATATTTCAGTTGACATCGAAAATGGCTGTTACCATCTAAAAAATAACGCATTTAACTCAATTTCCGCAAGATGGGCGGAAATCGCCGAAAAAAGACCTGACGGTCCCCTGAAGTCACGACGGAGCGTAAGGATTGGTATGTATGAGCAGTTAAGTGCGCGTGTGAGTGGCGCGCATATGACGTCACAGACAGAAGCCAAACCAAACTCTATATTAAACTAACTCAACTCAACCTAACCTAACCCGGATTGGATTAAGTTAGATTAGATTAAGTTAGGTTTGGTATGTTTTAATTTGGTTTCTTAGGTTAGGTAACAATAATAATGCTTGTTATAATTGTTATGGCTATCATTATTATTCTTATTCGTATCATTCTTGTTTTTGTTCTTTTTAAAATGTCTTAGTAGTAGTAGTAGGTTACGTTAGGTTGGGATGGGAAAGAATGGGTTGGGGTTGGGGTTTGGGTTGGGTAGGGTAGGGTAATAAAGTAAGGTAAGGTAAAGTAAGGTAATAATGATAATAATAATAATATTAACAATACTTATAGCAATAATAATAATGGTAATAATAGTAATGATAATGATAATAGTAATAATGATAAAGATAATTATAAAATTAGGAAAAATTAGAACAAGAATGAGAGCAAGAATAATACAAATAAGAACAATAATGATAATGATAATCATAATCATAACAACAAGAACAATAATGATTACTATTATTATTATCATCATCATTATGATACTACTACTAATAATATGATGATAAAACAATAATAGTAGTAATAATGGAAATAATAATAATATTCATGATAATAATTATAATGATAATAATAATAACAATGATATAATAATAATAATGAAAATACTAATACTAATAATAATAATGATATCATTATCATTATTATTGTAATGATAGTAATAATCATAATAAAAAGAGAATAATGATAATAGAAATTATAACAATGATAGAATTAAAATAGTAATAAATATGGGAATAATAACAATATTACTGATGTTACTAGTTCTACTACTTATAATAACAATTATATTATTAAACAAAAATGGGTGGAATTAAAAGGAGATAATATTTCTTTTCCATAATGCTGTTTGAATATATCCCACACCCCCCCACCACCAAAAAAAAAAAATAATAATATTACAATTTTCTTGGATGTGTTTAATGTTAATTTTCACCATTATTGCAGTTGTTATCATTGCAATATTATTATTTGAAGATGTTAGTATCATTATTGATGTTCTTATTATCATTAATTGTAGTAGCATTAATGTTTTATTGAACTAAATATTTCTTATTAGCATTTTATTGCCACTATAAATATTAGTTATTAATAGTGTTGCTCCTGACATTACTTTAATTATTAGTATTATATTCAATATTATTGATAGTATTATCATTATTACTTTTATCAATACCAATGATTTATTATCCTTATCATTATCACTGTAAATATTCTTTTATTTTGTCATTACTGTATTATTATTATGATTATTATTAAAATGGTAACAAATATAAACCATCAACTCAAATATGGTCTGTTTTAGAAATCTTTTTATTGCAGTAATAATGGGGGAAAATGTTTTCTGTCTTCGAAAATGGTGATACTGTTCCATTTCTACTCATATTTCAATTATTATCTGTATTAGTGCTGCCATACAAGATTATAATATGTATATAGGACCGTGACTGATGTATAGTCATACATACCTAACCCAGTCCCATTAGAATTAAACCATAAGGAACATTGTGTATATCTTTATTCAGTATTTAAGAATACATACTTTCATATATAATGTAACTTATTATACCACCAACTTTCATAAAAATATTCAAGTTTATAAATCAGGAGCCATATCAGTAGTAACCTAAAATTCTCAGCGACATTTTGAATATAGTGTGCCAGTTTATAATTAATGCCTTCTTATTAATAACCTTGTGTGCCATTTTTTTTCAGCACTGTATACCCAAGTGTACATGTTATAATTTTAAATTTATACTCACCATATTAATATCTGGACACACTGAGCTTCAAACAACCCTCAGAGTGAACAGTTGTTTGCCTGCTGCGATGAGGACTGAGGGTATGATGCATGTATGAAAACATCTGGCTTACATTGGTATGTAATCCAAATCCTGATAGCAATGCCAAGGCTACTTTCTTCATGCAGTTGAATTTATCAGAAAGTGGTGTCCGGGAACTTAATATGGAGGCTGCATGATCATTTGCAGTAGATTCCGATATTTCTCGATTTTAAAATTTAGCTGACCATAATAATGACACTCACTCACTCTCTCTCTCATATTATTTTTCTGTTTAACTTTTTCTTTGCCCCTCTGAATCACATGTTGTGCCATAGACAAGCACTCTGTGTGCTAAGTCTGGCACTCGTGCCAAAGGTTGCCAACCTCTGTAATATACAGAAGACAAATATGGTGTCTAATCATTATTCATAGAGTAAATTTTTTTTTTCTATATTAAGATTACATTTTCAGTTGTAAAACACTATATCAAATTTTACCATGGCTAGCATTTTTTCTCATTTATTGATCTGACATACCAGTTCACTAAAGGTACTAGAAGAGATAATGCTCAAATTATACTTCTCAACCAATCATTTAAAAAAATAAAGATAGGACGGAAGCAGTGCATGATCCCAGTTACCTTATATAATGATAATTCAGAATCATACAAATTTATACTGATATGAATAACTGTGTAGACTGCCACTTGAAGCCTCCTTTTAACTGCAAACAAGACTTTGAGCACTGGTGTGAGGCATTTTTAAAACTTTTTGGTTTTAAGCAAGGTATTGCACTACCACTTTACACAACAGTCATCTGGGATAGCTCTGTGTTTCTATACTCAGTGATCAAACAATTTACACAAGCACACTTACAGAAATGCATGTATATGCACAAACATATACACATGTATACAAATACTCCCACACATAAAAGCACTTGTGACATACACAGGCACCCATACCCACACAGACACACTCACGCTTTCACACTCACACAGACTCACACTCTTTCACACACACACACACACATATATCCATAAACTACTAGTTATTAAAGGGCTTCCTTTGATAACCAAAGCCCATAGTAGTTTACAGATGTCCATTGCACAGGAGTCTGAGGACATTAATAGTAAAGCATCTCAAATCCTGATATAGATTGATGATGTTCATAATTCTTGTTATTACCCTATCTTTTCACCAGCAACATGTCATTAGTTACACCATTCCTCATTCCTTAATTAAGAAAGTATAATTAAGTTGTAAATGCTGCCTTTTATTGAGCTTGGAAGAAATTGATGAGATGCTGAAGGTCTAGACTGCCATAATTATCCAGGATTTCCAAGAGTTGTGGCACTCGACTTTTCACATTCACACCCTTGAACTTGTACTTGTCGATAAAAAGATCAGTGATCATGCCTGAAAAACACATCAAATTGCAGATCATTTGTAGAGTGCAATAAAGCCTATGGTTAAAACAATATATCCCAGTGGTTATAGAAAAATAATAAAAATACAATGACAATCAACTGTAAATGACAAAATCAGATTTCCTGAACCTCTGTAAACACAGTTTTACTGAAAAGAGAAATCAATGATATATCCATAATAAAGTAAAAAGGAATATCCATATGAAATATATTTATTCATATCTAATACCCACTACATCAAAACAATTCACATATCACTAACCATACAGTCTTTCGAGGTGACATGGTTGTTTGCGATATTGTGCAAGAAGTTCATCCGCATTATCCAATATTTGCTTATACTCTGGAGAAAGAAAGCTTGTATCTGTTTCATGGGAACCCAACTCTCGAAGGGCATCTATCAGAGATACCTGGTGGAAGAAAGATGTAAATTAAGAATAAAATTACACACTCCTCATTTTAAGCCTGAACAAACAACAAAATATAAAATAATGATGAGCTATTATATTTTGGGTTTGTGTTACCTGTTTGGCCAACATAAGTTGGGCTTCCAGTCGTGGGTGCAGAAGATGAAGGGCATGAACAACGCTCTCCTCACTAACTTCACAAGAAATGTCAAGTCGAACCTTAAAAAAAGGAAAAAAGTTCAGATGTTCTGTAAAAAAAAACTGGCTGGCTAATACACTAGAACTATCAGAACCAGTATATAATTCATATATATATTACCTCTTCTTCCCAATTCTAAGAATCATACTTATTTTATGGAACCTGTTCAATGAAACATACAGACATCAGTACTGATATAAATAGCATTAGGAAGAAATCCAAGGAATGGGGAAATCAGGTATAGTCACTAGGACCTACTAACTGACTCCTTGGTGGCTGAGCCCTTGAAGAGCCATCTGTATAACAAAATTCACAAAAGAATATGGACAGTACATAACCCCATGGCTATTGGGTTCATAATGTTGGCCAGCCATTACTTTCTTACTGAGTATATGTACTGTGGTTTCTCACCTTTTTTCTTGTGGCTTCCTTTGTCAGTACATCTTTCAAAATTGATATTGTGGAAATATTGTCAGACCGAAACACTGCCTCTCCTGGTCCATAAATACACTGTAACTGTAAGTATGTGTTAATTACATACAGATACATTTTATGATTAGCCAATAATACATATTAACAAAACGAAATACCTGTATTTTTCTATAATATTAAACAGATACAGATACTTACTTGGGTATCAAGGAATGTAGAGACAAAGGTGAATTCTGCCCGTTCACCAGAGGGAGTGCGCTCAGGTAGTTCTGGTAAGCAGAAGACAACCCATGCATGCATTTCTGGCAGTGTAAACTGCCCTTTCAAAGTTAAGGTGTTGTATGGACGATTTGGATCAAAACTATGGATGCGTGAATGAAGAGACAGAGGCTTGATACGGTACTGACGAACCTTTTAAGTGAAGTAAAAAGAGAAAATGTAATGCTCATTATCAAAAATACTGCCTGTATCATCTTTTATAACAAAAAAAGTATTGAAATATTAGATATCATAGTCTAACATCATTTCACATATTATAGAGTACTATGTTTCAATATAAAACATGAATTACACATCTTTTACAAAAAACAATGCCCTACCTTTACTATACTTTTAATACAATTAGTTAAAGCTAACAGACTTTATATATTTCATAACACTGACCTGACAACACTTAGGTTGAAGTCTTGGGGTAATGTATGCTTGAAGGGTTCCGTACTGTCCTTCAATAGTCCTGATGCGAACCTCCAGCCTGGTGGTGTTGGCTTGACAACGGTAAGTTGCCAGAAGGAAATTTCCACTCTGAGAAGGCAAATTTATTGGTCTAAATCTGTCATATGAAAATTAAAATAAGTAAAACTCTAAAACAGTAGTGCTATAAAAGGTAGCAAAGATTAAATTGAAAAGATAACATGCAACTGGCATAAAAATTAAGATCTTGGAAAAAGACAGAAGACAAAGAAAACACTGAAAACAGAAACCACGCCTAAAAAAAAAAAAGGATTGTAGTCTACTGCATGTATAATATGAAGAGGTTTTGAATGTACCTAAATATCAGATAAACTGTTATGATCTCATATTTTAAGGGAAGAGAAATTAACTTCATTTGAACCAAGATGACAAAAAGAAAAGGTGGTGTAAGACAACACAATACTTCAAAGTAGAAAATTCGCACTTGCAAACAGACTTTTCCTTATCATTCATCCTAAGAATTAACAAGATATAAGGAATCATTACGATACTGATGGCATGAATGAGGACGATAGTGGTGAGGGTAACTGATGAATTACAATCAGGCTATTTAACTTTACCTCAGGATCACAGGTACTGTAGCTAACAACTGCCGAGTTCTTCTCCACATCCAACAAGTCGATGGGGACATCACTTTGCAGCAGTACATTGTCAACGGCTGTCTGTACTTCCACACTCAACAAATATGAGGCATCAGAACGATTGAGACTTATCTAAAGAGAGAGGAGTATCAATGGCAAAGCAAACAATGTATAAAATGAAGTCCAATAAAATATAAAATATCAAGACATTTTTTAATGAAATACAATCATTCAAAACATAAAAGTACAAAAAACAAAAACAAAATTCCATGAATATATCAAACCTTTTTTAATGCATTCATATTAGGGACCTCTATTAACCCAATGCTGCTGGGGATGTCTAGAGACATTTTACAAAACAAAGCTAAAGGGAACACTATATGATACTGGGTCAATGTTAAGTGATGAAAGCATTATCATTGCAGAAAAAAATTGACAATCAATTCTTTAAAAATATATAATTAATAATTACAGAAATGGTATTTAATGACACTCTATAACAGGTTTAAAATATTCTAACCTACATGAATACTATATTACCTTGTCATTAACAGAGAAGAATGGTACAGCCGAGATGCCAGGGAAAGCACTCTGGGTAGCAGCCTGATATTGATCACGCTCTTTCAAGACTCGCTGTTGCAGTTCGTCTATCTCCAATCTGAAGTAAAGAAATCCATAGAGAGTCTAAAGAAGCTCAAAATATTACTGTGATGAAGATCAACTACACTAAAACAAAATGAATATTTCATCCCAGTACGTTCTTACCAATAAACTAAACAATAATTTTAATCTTAATAAATGTGCATAGAAAAAATGTTTAATATCACTCCTGTTGATATGTTCACTGTGCCTAAACATAACAGTAAGATAGAAAGATGTAATAAACACACCAGTATATACTCATATGTATATGTGGGTGTATGAAGAGGTGCATGTACAACCACAAAAACATAATGTAAAGAGTTAGTTAGACTACCAAAAACAACAACAAAAACAAAATAAAACCAGAAAATAATGGTGACTTCATAAATAAAACAAAAATTGTGCCAATCATATTCATACAGAGATGTACCTCAATTTCTGAATCTTTTGTTTAGATTCCTGGGAAATGTGGACAACTCCTGACTCGGAAGTCATGTGTCGGTCCATAGGCTCCGAAGTGACACCAAATACCCAGCCTGAGAGTTAGTAATCACGATGCACATAAAAAGACTTGCTCGAGAGCCACATGTCTATATAAAATATTATGCTGTGAAAAGAATTAGTATACATTTTGATCCAATGTCAGACTCATAATTTCCACAATGACATACCAACACTCACAAACACATTATACCTAAGTATTTCTATATATACATGAAACCTAAAAAATATATACATGTAAATATATCTTTACCAAGTTGAACAAAAGGTTACTATAAGGAGATATTTCTAATTTAAACATATAACTGGCCAATTTCTTGGCCAACAAAATTCATCTAATTCACATGTTACTTATGTGTTATGGTAAGAGGCTCAAACCAACTCCATTTTGGGGGGAGGAGGGGGGGCAAGGAATAAGAGAGCTGCTGAGAGAGATATCGAAAGAATGACAAAGGCAATACCAAAGAAGGTGAGTGGAAAGGGGAGAAAGACATTTTTACTTTTTTTTCATTAATCTGTGTGCAAGTATGATAGGGCATGGTTATATATTGGTAATGACAGTTCTATGTTTGGGATGGTCTGCAGTTAACCAGTATTTATCACCCAATATTGGACAACTTACCAGTATATGTTGATGCTAATATTTCATCATATCCAGCATTCCCCACAACAGCTCCTTGAATTCCTGTGATGCTTTCATTGCAGGCCTTGCATGATCATGAAAAAGTAAAAGTTTTCAAAATATGTTTAGGAAATTTTTTTGTGTAAAAGACAATGAAAAAATATTTAGATATTCAAATTCAATCAGTGCTTAATCAGGAAACAATTAAATGCATTCTTCATATATCTATGGATCAACAGCACAATTAATAGTGCACAATATTTTATGTTGAAAAATTTTGCCAGCTAAATTCACACTCACGAAAAAAAAGATAAAATAAAAACAAAAATTACTACACCACTCACAGTAGAAAACCTAAGAGTAGGTTCTGACTCATCACCATCTTCATAGGCAAACACTTCTATAGTTCCATCATCTCTTCCCACCAGTAAATCCCTCACACCATCTCCAGTTATATCATGGTGATCCATACAAGTGATCCCTCCCTGTCTTGTTCCGACACTCCCACTGCTATTTTCGAGGACCCATCGATGTGCTGCAGAACCCCTGGAAGATCATCAGATGCCTGATTATTTTTTTTAGTTGAACTTGCAAACTGCAACTTCCCTAAGTAACACCTTTGCTGCAGCAATATTCTACATTCCTGTCAAGTTAAAACATTAAAATAATACTCTGAAATATTTTATAAAAGATCATGAATTGAACAGGGACATATTTTTAGCAATATATAGCTGTACTAACTGCAAAACACAGACTCCTCCAATGCTGTCACAGACCTGCCAAGCTGAACCAGTCCAATCTTTCCATCTGTGGTTCCGTAAAGCAACTGATCTCCATTTTCTCCTCCATCATTGTAGAAGAGTTGCAGGCTGGATGGAGGTGACGGTAATTCAACTGAATAAAGCACCTCAGAGTCTCTCATTACTCGAAGTAATCGGTCCTCACATGCAAGCACTGGTATAAGGGACTTCATCTAGAAAAATTAAATAACTCGATTTAGCAGTGATTTTCTATAAATCTTTCAACACAAATTATGAAAAATAAATACTTTAATGTCTTCTATATTTTCTC